CTAAGTTTTATTAATTTTTATTATTTTTTTTAATTTGATAATTTTTTTAAAATAATAATTTCTAGTAAAAGTAAAACATATTGCACATGTCTGTACCAACAAAACTAATATTTTTCAAACTATAAAGAAAATAATGTGTTCTAATTACAAATTGTAAAATTGAATGTAGCCCAAAATACAGGATGCGCTAAAACTCGTGCTTAGAGAAAAATTTCAAGTAGGTACCAGGAACATGAAAAAATTCTATCTGTCAAAAAATTTTAACAATAATTTTTTTGAGATTTGCCATTTTTATGTCCATTTAATGATACTGATTATCTTGTACATACTATTAATCAAAATTAATTGAAGACTAATGGCGCAGCAAAAGTTTTTGTTTGTTTTGGTCCATACTACTACCTCCTGATTTATTTCTTTTTTTAACACCCTGTATACATTTCATGCTACTTTTACTTTATTATACTTTATATGACTTACCTTTTGTTTACTTATATCCATTTCACTAATACATCTATGTAAATCATTTGTGTTATTAGTAATAATAACAAAAATTAATAAAAAAAATTCTTAATTTTTAATGCAAAACTTACCTTTCATTTACTTTATATACACTTTTTACACTATTTTCGCTTTTGTAGATACTTGTTTTAAAGTTCGCGCTCTTATTCGCCCGCCATCTATTGATGCTTATTTTAGTTAGTTTTGTGCGCTTTCTCTCTTATACTTATTAGAACATGTGCATATGTTTGTTTTAAAGATCGCGCTCTTATGCGCCCGCCCTCTTTTAACATTTATTTGAATTATATTTAAATTTGAATTTGAGAAAAATTGCCGATTCGGGGCTCGAACTCGGGACCTATCACTACCGCCGCCGACAATTTCAAAGTTTTCATTCAATATATTTTACACAAAATTTTTCAAAAATTTATTTTTCGCATTTTTACAATATTTTTGTGCTTTATTAAGTCTTTTGAACATCCAAGAGTGCAAATAGACAATTTTGAAGTTTTTAATTTTTTTGATTTTTGTCGAAATTATGGGCAATTTTTGATACGTGGAGCGGTCTAATGCCAATAACTCCGGACTTATTAGAGATAATTTCTTATATTTGATACCGTTGGAAAGAAAATTTAATTTTCTGTAACATACAAAAAAGGTCAGTGCTTTACGATAAATAGTTATCGAGAAAATTTGTGATAATTGGTTTAGACTAATTCTATTATGTATATGTTTTTTTATAATTATTTACTAAAAGTACCAATAAAAGCCACAAATAACATCTAATAGCCTGTAGCAAAAAAATTTGAAAATAGTTTTTCCAATAGAAATAAATAGAGTCAAAGAACAAAATTTAATCTTTCATATCTCTGAAATTTTTATAGATAGAATTTTTTTAACATTTTTTACTGGGGCGCAAATTCTGGCGCATCCTGTATAACTACGACATTTAAAAAAATTCTAAAATTGTCAGTTTATACTGTATTTAAAGCCCTTTAATTATTTTTTTTAAACAATTTTACAGGGCTTGTAGTTTTTTAAGTAACCTTGTATTTTATTTATTAAATTTTGTACTCAAGATTGCAAAAATGTCAACTAAAGAGAGTTGAAGTTAAATTTATAAAAATTATAACAATAGCCATTGTCCTGTCAAAATAATGTTAAGCTAGCCGTCAGTCAAAAGCACCCTTCAGCGTCTGAAATTCCTGAAACTCATGAAAGCCAAGCACCATTGAATATCAAACGCAGCCAAGCTCGAGAGATACAAATTCCTCAAAAAATAATACCGTCTTGAATTAATAAAAAGCGGTCCCGGAAGACAAAGTGTCGCTGAACGAGTCGTCGTCCAATAAAGGAGGAAATAGGTCGAGGGAGACATTAACACAGCCCTGGGGTTAGTAAATAGAGTCCTCAGTACGCATACCGATGACTGCATTACTGACATTGCTCGTCAAATTAATAAAATGAGAGAGGGTGTGTCCGATGGGGTTAACAACACGAGCAAATTTCAAAAAGTGCACCCCTGCTCTTGCTCTCCTCACTCTTGTTACAACATTGTCAATATTTGATTTGGGAAATTGTGTGTGGCATTCGGGCCTTTCATTACTTATCATCACATTTAACCTGACCCGACCCTTACAAATTGTTTCAGCCATATCGAATTTCGCTATTTATACAACAAACGAAACCGTTTCCAACACTATTCAATATTTGCACGGTTTTTCTTAACTCGGAAAAACGCTGATTGTTTTTAATTGCAAAATGCGATGAAAAATTTCMTGGTTTATGACGGGAGTAATTAAATTTTTGGATAAATTTCACAAGCCATAAACTATGTTTGAAATACTAATCAAATTTAATTTCGAGCTTTTACTACACTTACCGTTATGGCATCATTTCAAACTTTCATCATTTGCAAACTAATTAGAAAGTTCAAATTTAAAAATTGGAAAAAAAATTGTTAGTAGTAAAAGTTACACATTATTTGCAATCGTTTTAATTAACTTTGACGTTTCATGTAAAATTAATTGAATCTTGCATTGACTTGAAAACGATAAAAGAAATCATTAATTATTAGATATTCTTAAGTTCTGTGTTTGATTAATTATTGTTTTTATTGATTTGAGTTGTTTTAAATGATTTC